TGTTGATACAGGGTCTCACTATGTAGTTGATACTGACCTGGAACTCACTATATAGCCCAGGCTGGTCTCAAACTCACAGCAATCCTCCTGCCTCAGCCTCCCGAGTGCTGGGACTATAGGCATGCACCGCCATGCCTGGCTCTTTAAATTTTTCATTAAGCTCTTGAGGAAGCCAAATTTTTACATGAATGATACAGTTTGTTATCAAAAACCACCTTTTTGTGGAGCCTGGTTTTTGGTAATGTCCTAGCTCTCTCCTTCAGCTCTTGGAGATCTCCAACCCCTCCTCATCTCTCACAGGGTGTTGAGGTGGATTTCTCAGAGGTCACCTTTCAGTCGGGTCGGTCAGCAGAACCTCTGCGAGCTTTGGTCTGACCCTGCAGCTCTTAGCAGGCTCTGCTCCGTGGTGCTCTGGATGGCGTACTCTGGGTTTTGTTTCTGTGGAAGGCATTTTTCTTTTTGGCCTTTCTACCACTGTTTAAGACAGTCCCCGTGGTCTTTAGACCTCTCCACTATACCCCTGTAGTTATCTTCATGATCCCATGACTTCTACTAGTCTGATTTTAGTTTGTCTTTGTTTTTGTAGTGCTGGGGATGGAACCCAGGGCCTTTTCCACTGAGCTTCATCCTGGTTCCTTATTTTGAGACAGGGTCTCATTGTTTGCCAGGTAGGACTTGAACTCACGATCCTCCTCCCTCAGCCTTCCAGCATGCTGAGATGACAGACATGTACCACCGCATCCAGCTAGGGTTAATTTTAGATATGATTGTCACCTGGTTAGAAAAAGACGCTACAGTGGCTCCTTTCCTAAAGAACAAAGGCCAAATGCCTACTATAACACTGAAAAGCCCTCACGAAGACTTCCTTTTATGTGTCCAGTCTTCAGCTGTGCCAGATGACAGTTTACCATCATATGTATCGGTAACCCCCTGGGACCCCTCTGGATACTTAAGCCTGTGGATGTTGAAGTCTTATGTAAAATGGCCCGATATTTGCATATAATCGCTGTGTATCCTGTGGACACTTTAAATCAGCACTAGATTACTTGTAATATCTACTGCGATGTAAATTGTTCTGTTTAGGGAATAATGACAAGAAAAAAAGATCTCTGTGGCTCAGTATTTTTCTGAGTATTTGAATCTAAAGGAAGAATATGTGGATATGGAGGGCCGACTGTACGTTCTTCCAAGTACTTCACGAAGTCTGTCTGTTGGGGAAATATCTGGGGTGCACACAGTGAAGCGCATCTCCTCAGAGCCCTACTCGTACCACAGGTCCTGCCTGCACTGACGCCAGCCCAGCTGTTCCCGCACCTGGGAGCCCTTTGCCCACCGTTACATTCTTAAGTCCAGGTTGGAGTCCAGCTACACCTTGAGCTACAAGTCAGCAGTTTTCTTTATCGCTTTTCACTAACGCATGGTATACTTGATGTTCAATAGATATTTACAGGAACAAAAAGAACAGGGATGGGAAGACAAATTATGTAGCATTCTACAATTTAAAAAGCCAGTCCTAGACTTCTAATTCTAGAATTGCAACAGAAAGGTGGAGAAAATTAGACCAGCAGGCACTTCCATGTTTCTACCTTGTAACTGGTCTTACAGATAAACTTTTAAGAAGCTGTTGGAGACCCAGGACCATTGGGCATTTGGAAAGAGGAGGTAGTATATAAACAAACCTATAAAACCCAGCATTTTGCCTTTGACTAGCTTTTCTGGAGGAATGGTTAGGTATTACAAATTAAGTTTTTTTTGTTTTGGTTTTTCCTTTTTGAGACAGGGTCTCACTATGTAGTTGAGACTGACTTGGAACTCACTATGTAGCCCAGGCTGGTCTCAAACTCACAGCGATCCTCCTGCCTCAGCCTCCCAAGTGCTGGGATTATAGGTATGCGCCACCAGGCCCAGCTTACAAATTAAGTTTTAACAATACCCTACATGATTAAAATGGCAAATGCTGGTAAGGTCGATTATCAGAAAGATTTCACTTGTTTTAAGCTTAAGTTTGTTCTGTACAACTTTGTGTGGTTTTCCTGTTGATATTGAAAAATTGGAAATACTGAAGTACAATGCTAACATATACTAGCCTTTTCAGCCTATATTGTAAGACTGGGACAAGGACATAAAGATGGCACATTTTTAGGCAATCCTAGCGCTATGGTGTTTTAACACTACACCAATAATACATAGCCTTGAGAAAATTACTTCAGAGTCTGTTTTTCTCATCTGTAAATGGGAAGGTAATACCTATTGTGTTAACTGGTGGTGAAAAGTGAATCACTGAACAAGCTGAATACTTAGCACATTGCTTGGCTTACTACAGACACATTACAAACAGTAGCTTCTGCTCCTCGAATTAACAGTCAAAAGAATTCGTGGAAGAGCTGTGTGCTGGGTCACTAATTATTTCACACTTTCCTCACTAATCACTGTCTCCTTGTGTAGTCTTCACTTAAATTCTGGGCAGAAGATACACATGGGAAGAAGAAACAGCCTGATGAGGGGGTCAAGGCAAGGTGTGGTGGACATTTGAAAAAACTTCCATTAGTTTGACAAGGGGTTGGCAGTTCAAAGTCACGTCTCTCCTGCCTATCCTGATACGGTGCACTATGGATTGCGGCTATAGTTATAAATGATGGTACGTAGTGCTGTCTGATGCCTGATGGAATAGTTCTATGATCGGATGACTGGAATACAGTGCAAACAAAATGAGAATAAAACAGCCCTCGTAAAAACTGGACTAGAACTCAATATAGCCCAGGCTGGCCTCAAACTTGTAGTCCTGCCTCAGCCTCCTGAGTGCTGGGATTACAGCCATGCACCACCATGCCTGGCAACCCCATGTCATCTTTACCTAGAGATTGATAATGAGCATCTTGCACTAACGCATTTTTTTCCCCGTCTTCTGTAGGAAAGCAATTTTTAGAAATCACATTTGGAGTCCAATTCTTTCACTTATCAGAGACCATGAGCTGATGTTTTTCCATTTACCTGGGCTTTAGTTTCTCCCCTCTAGATCTAAAGTCTTACTCCTGTGTATCCCCATTAGTTTTGTCATGGGGATTAAGGGCACCAATCATGTCTGGCATGCAGAGTGAGTCATGTTTACCCTGCAAACATAATCACCTTTCTCAATACCATGTAAAGCGCTCTGATCATTCTCTCAATACAGAGCAATTGTTGCTTTCCTTGCGGACTCAGGTGCTTCGACAGGCCTGCCCCTGTGTGAGAATGAGTGTTTTCTTCTGCTCGGGCCCACCGCTTCTGTTTATTAGTCAGCATCAGCTCTTCCTGTCTGCTGCACCATGACAGAGATAACTGAGAAACAGACCGAATTTGTAAGGTTAACAGCTGTTACAATTACAGTGAGCTGTTTCCCTGGGATAGCTCCCGGGCTCCTGAAGCTGTGTTCATGTTTTTCTCAGCGCTTGAAGACTCCATTTTCAAGTAGGTCTGTGTTCACATTTCCCACAGATTCAGCTGAGGCCGCTGAATCTCACCTTTATGTTCAGATGCTCCTCAGCTGTGGGTCACTTGATCATCTTTCTTCTTTTTGTTTCTTCAAGTCTTAGATTTTGCTCACAAGTTGTTTTTACTCAGAAATGATCACAAATCTTTGGTCCAAACCGGAGTAGTTTTATGTCCCTAAATTACATACGCGCACTACCCCTAAAGTCATGCCCTTTGGAAAAGTTCTGATGTGTATTTCTTTCTTGAGAGCACAGTGTATTTATCTTCAAACTCCATTAGTAAATTTCTCTGTACCATAGAGGAAGTATCTGCTAAAACCAAACATAGAAAGGCACTTTCCTGCAAGACTGTTTATGTATGGTTTGTCTTCTTGACTTCTTAAGCATAATTCTGTCAGATATCTTAAGTACTGCAAGGACTGGAGTGCACCGCAGTGAGACCTGACCTGACCTGACCGTGCGGCTCCAGGTGCTGATAGCAGGTGAGTTCTGCTCCCTGTGAACACTTCAGGTGCCACCGAAATTGATCCCCATGTGTAAACAGGTTGGTTATTGTGTTGCCTTTTACATGTAATTCTTACCCATTTTGTCGTTAGGAGAATTAGAGGAGGAAAAGATCTGATCTGTCTTCTTAGTGACTGCTTAGATTTTTGCTTTCACTCTTCTGTCCCGAGGGGTTGGCAGACTCCTGCCTACAGGCCCTGTCTAGCCGACCACCTGCTTTTGTAGGGCCAATAAGGCAAGAAGAGTTATTTTAATTTTAACAGACTATTGTGTGAAGAGATGACATTTAAATTTCATGGCCATAAAGTTTTACTGGAACACAGCCAGTTGATAGTTGCTTTCTCTGCCACAAGGGCTGAATATTGCCATGGAAACCTATGTCCCTGAAATGTCTTGCTGATTTGTCCTGGCTGATTGTTTACATGTGGTGCTGTTACCGCTTGTCATTTTCTTTTATTTCTTGGTACTGGGAATTGAACTCAGGACCTTGTGCTTGCACAGCAGGCAGTGGCACCACTGAGCTAAATACCTGGCCGCTTACCTCTTTTCATTTTCCCTGAGCGCTAGAGTGATGGTGTTTCTCAAAGCAGGAAACCCCAAGAGTGAATGGGGCACCAACCCTCCCTAAGAAAAAAGGCATGAGTGGGGCTGTTCTGACAGGAAGAGGACGAAGGCCCTGCTTGAGGAATAGGCAAGGTTCGCACTACCCCGTCAGCTCTGAGTTATCTATCCCAAGCACAAAGTTGAAGTAACAGTGAACTTAGCACAGATAAAATTGTGTCAAACGGGGGGAGGGGATTCTTTCTGAATATAAACATGTGGCATTCTAATTACTCCAGTAACTAAGTTTTTTCTTTTTTTAATTTATAAGCATAAATAGCCATTTACTCATTAACAGAGCCATGATAAATTGAACTTCTATCCAAATATGTAGATTAAAGACTTTTTTATTTTTATGAGGCAGGGTCTTGCTATGCAGTCCATGGTGGCCTCAAATTTGCTGAGGTCCTCCTGCCTCAGCCTCCTAAGTGCCGAGATGACAGGTGTTTGCAACCATACTCAATTAAAGGCTTTGTATTTACTTTAAATATTGACCATGTACACAGGGAGAGGAGGAAGATCAAAAAAGAATTAAGATGTATTATGTACACGTACCATCTCCTCACAATGAATATACATACTCATTATGTACTGCAAACCTACCAAAAAAAATTTAAAAACATTGACACATATAGCAGATTATTCAAAAGTCATGGAAAAATAAGGTCAGAAACAAACTTTATTTACATAGGTATAATAATATCAATAGCTCAAATACTGAATACTTCAGCTTTGGGTTGGTTAGAAGTCCACGATTCACCAGCAGCCCTATTTCACGGAAGCAGAAGAATGCTGCTTTTGGTATTTCCCTCCGTGCTAGGCCTTCCTGCAGCTCGCCTTGAAGGTCCAGAACACTTTACCGCTTGTTGAAGAGCAACCTGCATGAAACGATGTACTGCACTGAGAAGTCAGTCTCTCACAAAGAAGACATTATATCCAAGTTCTGTGAGCGCCCCAGCCAGTAAGGCCCATAAAGGGATAAACACGTAGGACAGATTCATGGTTGTAAACTGCTCCAGTCTTGCACAGAGTGCGAGGCAGAAGGCTAACTTAAGTAACATTGCAAAGAGGTACCAGGCCTTTTTCTTAATGTTGTGTGATCCATGCCGAGGGTCGAAGCCAGACTTACACCGCCCAGCCATTTTCACGATGAGCATGACGAGAAGGATGGTGTCAAATATCCAGACTGGAATGAATATGAGGAACCAGTTCCATGGCGCTTTCTCATCCAGTTTCAGCACCAGCATGATCAAGAAGAGCAATGTGAACAGCCAGGTGAGCAGCACTCTCTGGGCCAGGGACATTCTCATTTAAACAACCGGAAGAGGCTGCTGCGGGGTCAGAAAACGGGAAATACACCCTGAGAGAAGGAAAAATCAACACTGTTTGGATACCAGAAAAAAATTACAGCCAGTCCCAGTGAACAAAGTCGGCTCCTCACTTAGACTTTCTAATTTTTAAATCCTATCACTCTTCCTCTAAGAACTTCTAAACCCTGGAGCAATGACTGCCAATTACAGCCATCTTTTCTTACAGCCACTGCCAAGAGCAAGCCCTAGGCAGAGGTCTCAAGGACAGTCTGTTCCTTTTCAGTGCCCACTCAAGACCTCATTCCCGTTCCTCAAGGACGTTCTCAACCTCCGCATTTATTTGCAAAACTTCAGCTTTCTATTCCGTTTCAAGGAGTACTAAGTGTTCCAAGTCAGAGCGGTAAAGGGGAGGCGGTAGTAACTAGCTGAAAGGAGGTTTTCTGAGATTGGGGCTCACTGTGTAGTTCATTCTGGCCTTGAAGTCACTATGTAGCCTAGGCTAGCCTCAAACTCATGGTAATCCTCCTGCCTCAGCCTCCAAAGTGCAGGGATCACAGGTGTGCGCCACCATGCCAGGCGAGAAGAGGGTTTTACAAGGTGGAAATGGTTAGTAAAAACTACAGGAGCATTAAGCAGAATTAAGATTGTGAAGAGGTCACTGGGCTAATAAAAAGGGTATCAATTACACATATGCATTTAGTTTATGGATCTTAAACTTTGCCTCAGCTATTTTCTTGTTGAAATAGATCACTTCAAAACTTGATATATTTTGTAAATATCTGATGCTAAATTATTCAATTGCATTATTTATACGTATCGCTGTTCTCTCACAGAAGTATACTTTTGCTTTGCAGTGAAAGCACACAGTTTGCTATTGGTTTAGGATATGTAGTAATATTTGGAAGGCCCCATCCTTTCCAGAGAATTTCGTATTTCAGTTTTTTCACTAAAATTATTAAGCTAATTCTTAAAAATTTGGAATTCCGATTGGGAATGCATTCACTTATAACTCAGGTAAGATACATATTAACATTTACTACATTTAGTCTTCACACACACGCTTACAGCATGGTACTCCACTGGGGTTTTTCAGACCACCCCTGTGACCGCTTGGTAGAAGAGCAGGCAGGGTGGGAAATGAGCCAGACTGCCCCCGTTGGAGGAGGAGTTAACAGAAGATAAGAAAGTGCGAACAGCTGAGAACACTTTATTCCCTTGAGCTATTTAGAGAAGAGAAGATAAAAGATAAGACAAGCGAGCTTAAGGAAGGGACCAGGAATGGAGGAATCTAAGTACGGTATGCTCAAACTGGAGAAATACCCGCCGGGAATTGAAAGACGACACTTACTGGAAAGAGAAGGACACGGAGGTGGTAAGGAGGGAAGACTGGAGAGACGAGAAAAGGCAGAAAAAGGTAAGAAAAAAGAGCCCGGCTAGAGAGACCACGTAGCCCACCCACCTCAGTGTGCGCGTCGGTTTTAGGACAGCGGGACTCCCCGCGGGGCGCCCACCCGCCCGGAGTGGAGCTGCGAGCGCCCTAACGCTCCCCTTTCCCTCCTCCCGCACTTGGCTTGGCTTTCACTCCCGGGAAGGCTCCTCCTCTGCTGCTCTCCTTGGAGGACCGGGATGAGAGAGTGAAATGAATTCAGGGGGAGAGACAGACTTGGGCGCTGAGCGGTAACTGGGTGAAGCTGCTCAGCTCTGGTCTCCCATCTGCCTGGCCATTCTCGAGTCCCTCTAGGAAAAGGTTTAGACAATGCCCATACTTCAATGGAGACCCGAGTTTGATTTTCTTTCTCACGAAGCGTTTTCTCATTGGCAAGGTGGGCTGCACTAACTCAGGTTTAGGACAGGAGGCGAAAGGATGTAAAGGACATAAACTTCCCGCGGCCTCAAGCTTTATGTGGGCTGCAACAAATTCCTGCGTCCCTCTCCAGTGGGCAGCGCCCTGCTCAGATGCAAACGATGCTTGGAAGACTGTGCCGAGCTACAACGCGGACACACGACTCTAATTCTGCATTTCATCCTCACTCATTTAAAGAGCCATATTCGCTTCCTTCTGCCACTTTCCTTTTTCCTTAAGGGAAGGACACACAGGCATCCGAAACAGACGTGCTCACTGTTCCTTCCCGGGGGTGCTGTACGACAGTTAGATACTCGCACCCCGGCGGACTCGCCCCTCCCAGGCAGCTCGAATCCGGCCGCACACCGAGAGCCTTTCGGCGGCCAGCGTCCGGCTCACTACGTGGGCGGCTCCGGCCTACAGGACCCCAGCTTCGGGACGTCCCCCACTCCTCG